TCTCTACTAATTGGTACTGCTCTTCCAGCATCTGCAGGCTCCTTGTTCTTCATTCTCTATCAAGAGGACATGAGATAGATGTAGTAGTGTAACACACTTCTTTCTTGGTGACATAATCTGTTTACACTGTTCTTGACCCATGCCACCAACTCAGTTTAACCTTCTGTGGGACTGTGTGAGACCTGAGTCAGGAGCAGCCTCTTTCCTTGGTGCATTTTTGAGATACATCAAGTGCTGGCCTTTGCTCACTGTGTGACCCTACAGACAGCTGTCCTGGCACAATGTAATGGGGGAACTGATGTGGCAGCAACTGCTTAAATGAGCACAACTGCCAAGAACTCCCCAGGGCTGTGTCAAGTCCCTCACTTTAGGTGTTTTCTTACCTGTTTTCAGAATCCTTTATGTATCCAGGGCTAATGAGCTTGGCCAATGTTATACTGAATTAAAGGTCCCCATGTTCAACATGAAGTATAAGTGTAGCATCTGGCTATGAAATAAAACAAAGCATGTAGCCAGGTCACTGTAGAACAAACCTGGTGTTGCTTACAGTCCATTCTCCACAGGCTGTCAGCTGCTACTTGTTTGTCCAGGCAGCTTCGCAAGAGCACTGCCTGCTGCTGTTCAAGTCAAGGTGGCACTTAAGGGTTTTAAAAATGCTTTTAAAAATAATTTTGCTGTTTTACGGGAGAATATTTATGAACATAATCCTGGCATTCCACAAACCAAGCATTAGTGTCAGGGCTCCTGGAACCATTCAAACTAAACTCATAAACTGCTGTTAATAACTTATCATGAAAATGCCTGCTCCTTTTTCTGATGCCTGTTTGGCTTCACCATCAGCAATTCCTCTTCTATTGCAGCAAGGTAAGAACAGAGCCTACCAAAGGAAGTTAAGGCATTCCATTTTCTTTATTTAAAGAGGAAGAGGTGTAACTAAAAATGCAGAATTAAATCTGCTACATCATTGATACTAGAGAGTATTTGACAATATTATCAATACTGTGCTCAGCTTTATGGTACAGTGGTAGGTTTTGCAGATACAGCTTCACTTCTGAGATCTGAATTATTTTTCCTGGTGGTCTCCAATTCATTTATCCTTCTGAATTCATGACTGCAGAAAAGTCATTGCCCTAGATTAACAAATACTTTTATTATTTGTGCTTATTTAATCTCAATATAATTAAATATAGCTCCAGGTATGTTAGCTTATAAAAACAAATTCAAATCTTGTAACTAGAATATAGTTAGTAATTGAGAACTGTAAGAGGGAAACCAAAGCTTTCTTGCTACTTGACAGCTGTGTTGGCTGTAGCCATTTTCAGAGCTGGGAGAGGAAAAAGAAACATAAGGTAAAGTACTCCTAAAAGCAGTAGAAATTAATAATTAAAGGATTTTTATAATTGCGTACTTAATTACCAAAGCTGAAAAATGATGACCACGTCACCTTCCATTTGCTGTCCTAGACCTGCTCTCTTCAGTTCTACACTGAAAAGCAGCGTGATATGGCCCAACTTCTTGTCATGCTGCCCTTTTTTTTTTTTTCTCTCCTTACTTCCCACTTTGAATTTGCCCATCTTTAACATTTGTTTTTGCAACAAAGTTTGCATGACTTTTTGGTAATTCTAAAAACATACAGGTGCCTGTATGTATTTTTTTTTTAAATTCTTCCACTTCAGTGTGATATACTGGGTAAGTTACATAGCACTACCGTTACATGCACTGTGTAAGTGACCTACATCTGGGTGTCTAGTTTCTTCTCATTTCCCCTTACGTTCACTGATGCTAATTACCTACTGCTTGTGAACTTGGGCTTTTTATTCCTCCTCTTCAAACTGGAAAATGCAGAAGAGTTAAAAATTTAATCCATTAACACTCAACTTGGGTAAAAAGCTGTGACAAAGCAAGGACTGATTAAATCAGGAAGCCAGACTCTCAAGTGATGAAGTGTCTCTGTTTAGACAGAGAAAAGATGCTATAAATAAATACAAAGTGTTGAGGGAAGCATTAAATAGTTTTGTTAGAGACATCATTATTAACGCAGTACCAAACCTTTGCTTGCAGGTACCACAACTGCCTGGCTTTTCCTGGCTAAAACCCTGCATTTCAGCATCTGACATTGTGTACATTGGTTTGAGGGATGTGGATCCTGCTGAATAGTAAGTTGATGCACATTGAAGGATTTTTGTGAAGGCTAAAATCATGAGCTTCTTTCCACATTGAGCTGTTGACAAGGGCTGCTAGATTTAAACTTAGGCCAGTGATGATTTTTTTTATTTTTATTTTCTACAGCTATATTTTGAAGAACTATGACATCCAGTATTTTTCTATGAGGGATATTGATCGCCTTGGAATTCAGAAAGTTATGGAAAGAACATTTGAACAATTACTGGGCAGGTAACAAACTATTATCTGATTTAAACTACTCTTATAATGCACTTCTTGAAGTGCAGCTTTCCTGAAAGTTATTTAAGAAGTGAAAGTCTCTCTTGATGTAAGGCAGCCTAACAGAACTGTGAGAGCATCCAGTGAATAGTAAAGTCTTAGCACTGACTTTAGTCCTCAACTTCCATATCTTGAACTGGAACCATTTCACAGTGTGTTGCAAAACGCTACAAGCTAGTTTACATGAGTCACTACAATTGTGGCTCTATTCTATACGATTTGTTCTGTTTCTGGAAGAGTTCTGCATTTTGCTGCAGTCTCACAAAATGTTAGAATCAACTTGGAGTCCAGGGTATACATTATACTTTTAAAATATAAATGCAGCAACTGATGATAACTCGAACTCAGTTGTTAGTACTGAACCAGATCAGGAAGCAAATCATGTGAGCCTAGGGCCACATAGAGAGGACCAGAGTGAAGAGGGTAACCTCTCACCACAAGGTGAGCAGAACAAGGCCCCCGTCTGTGCTGCATACTGTTGTGTCTAAAGCTGTGCTCACTCCTAACAGCTGCAGCTGTGCCAAGTAAAGAAGTTCCTAATCCAGATGCTGCAGATGCTCAATAGGGAGAAGCAAGTTGGAAGGACAGTCTACCACTTAAATAGCTCATGTGAGTGATATGCAGTGTCCAATCTATTAAGCTGTCATGGGTTGCCAGACTTCATGCAGTAACTAACACTTTAGGTTTGAGATTATCTTTCACTTTTTCATCAACTAAGCTTATATGGTAGAGTTTGGAGGCAGCCTTCAACTATTGACCTAGAAAATGCAGAATGCCTCGTTCATCTTGATGAACTGTCTATGAAATCCTCAAGCTTGGTGTTTCCTCCATCCTAGATGCCATGCAAGTCAATGTTTCAGCCTTTCACCCTGGCTTTCTGTACAAAAGGAGAAAAGGCTGGATTATATCATACATTTATCTACGTTTTTCCAACTAAGGATACAAATACCAGATAAGATGGTTAGAACTAAAGTACTTATCTTCAGCCAAATCACACCTGTGCAGATACTTGGTGAACCTAGAAAGAGAAGCCTCTGTTTTCCTAATGTACTGGGGAAAGTTCTGAGCTAGACGTTTCAGAGTCCAAAGATATTAAAAAACAAATCCTTTCAAACGTATGTAAGACATGGTATAGGACTTAGGACCTTTAGCATCATGTTCTATGATGCTAATTTGATCACCCTGGAAAGTAAGAAATGCAGGTAGAAAAAGTTCAAGGCTCTGAAATGGCTTTTCTTGTTTTGTTCTGTCTCAGGAGACAGAGACCCATTCACCTGAGTTTTGATATTGATGCTTTTGATCCCTCACTGGCTCCAGCAACTGGGACTCCTGTTCTAGGTGGATTAACTTACAGAGAAGGCATGTACATCACGGAGGAGATACACAACACAGGTAGGAGTTGATCAGCAGTACGGGACTAAGCAAGGACAGGACAGACTACATCAAGCTCACATTGGCTAAGCTTTTCCTGTGTAACTAAACAGTAAGATAAATTTAGTCAAAGCTGAGGTGCCTACAAAGTCAATTCAACCTTCAGTAAAGGAAAAAGAAGTCCTATGTTTGGTCTGTACCCCAGGTGTTGGAAGCAGCTTAACCATCAACTTCAGCTTACCAAAAATAAATAAAATACATAGTATATATAGTGTCAAAAATTACTTGGTCATCTGCTATAATACTGCCCTGTATTCCTAAATGCATGAGGTAATAATGGGCATCCTCATGGCTAGCAAAGCAAGCATTCACTAAGTATACTGCTGTTGATTCAGTAAGTGAGGAGTTTCTTTCTTATGCAATGAAACTTTTATTGAATTTGTTTAAATAATGTGCTACTTAGCAGTAAAAGTTGGTATGGCAAGAAAAAAAAACCCCAGACAGTAGACAACAGATTCAATAGAACTGTGAACAGGATGGCAAAAAATATACTAGGTGAGACTATTTTGTATCTCCTAATGTTGGGACTAGGAGAAAACAAGATTAAAAAGCATTCTCTCAAGTGTATGTGAAACTTCAAACTTATTTTTCCTGGATGCTGAAAGCATGGATGACTGAGGTAGTGACCACGTAAGAACCAAACTAAACCCACAAACTTCTGTCTAAGAACCCCTCACTTGAAGCCAATTTTATACATCTAAGGGGTAGAGTAGGTCACAAGCTCAAATACAAACTTACTGCAAAAGAAACCCTGTTAGAGATTTTACCCCTTTTCACAGTAACAATGCTGTACGTCATTTTCACAGGAATGCTTTCAGCTGTAGACATGGTTGAAGTCAATCCACTGCTTGGAGCTTCTCAAGAGGAAGTGAACGCAACTGCTGGTCTTGCAGTTGATGTGATAGCAACGTGCTTTGGGCAGACAAGGGAAGGAGCACACACGGCTTTTGAGGAACTCCCAACACCCAGTTCTCCAGATGAATCTGACAGTGAAGAGCAAGTGAGGATTTAAGAACCCAAAGCATTGGGTACATTGGACATTTTAGAGCTCTGCTGAGGCACGTGAGTGGATAGATTGTCAGCCCTTGGCAAATACCGTTAACTTCTCAATTTTTAAATAAACTAGCTTTTCCACTGATTGGTGGCTACTTTACAAGATTTATTCACTTAGTTAAGTATATACAAACTGAGACAATAAAATATTTATTACCTTCTTCTTAGTCTTACCAGTAGTTCAAGTCTGTCTCTGCGTTTTCCTTTTATTCCCATTCTCTGTCTTTCTAGTGTCAGTACAGATTCAGTTGAACCTGCTGTCTCAGGAGACAGTTCAATCCTCAGACAATCAAAGGGAACAGACAGCCCATCTTGTTCCTCAACAGTGTAAAAGCTCTTCTCACCCATGGAGATTCATGTGCTGCGAAAGAACTTGTAGTAGACCACACCTCCTAGGATGGCCAGTTCCAGGATGATGATGATGGACAGCAACAACTTATTAGTGGTTAGTCTAGAGTTAAAAAATAAATTAAAAATCTAAGATACCTTTTCCCCCCTTGATTTTAGATAATTTGATCACCACCTTACCTTCACTAAATATCCTTCCTGTTTCAGCTAGACTGTTCAGTAAGACTGTGTGTTCCTACTCAAGTTTTCCTGGAAATTCTGCTTAAATGTTCTACTTCACCAGTAGCAGTCCTGTTCCTCTCCACCCCCACCCACCCAGTACAGCAGTTTATTCTGCTCTGCATGTGCCTACTCATTCACTTAAGCAAAGAGGAAAACATCAGCTGAACTTCTCCTGTGCTAAAACCTACCTTGTGGTGCTTTTATGTGGAACTATGTAGTTAAAGTAAAACGATAAAGTCTTGAAATAACATTATACAGTTCCTGCAGCTTTCTTCAGCAACAGGTATAAAGGGGAAGTTTGTTAGGCCAGAAGTAACTACTGGAAATACCATATTCTATGAACAGTTTTTTACAAGAATAATTAAATCAGTGTTAAGAAACGGAATATTTAGCAGCCAAGGCTTTAGTCATGAAAATAGTATATGGTCAGGCTCAGTCTAGCTTCTCTAGGGCATTATTATGGGCTAAACAGAGATGTCTGTGTCATCAGACATCTGACTCACACAATGCTGCAGTGATTTATGGCCCAGCTTTTTCCAACAAAAATAACAAGGAACTGCATCTAAAGGTACCATTAGCAGTTCGCTGTAATGTGCTTATGTCCAAATCCCTCCCCTCATCACAATTTATCATGTGTGATGGTTAAAGACCTCTTATTATCCTAAATGAGCAGCACAAATGCAGTAGTGTTCTACTACCTGTATCCATTAAGTAATTACCAGAGAGGAGAAAACAGGAACTGGCATCTGCACATGAGCACACATTGTGTTTACACGTTCCCTAAAAACTCCCTGTGGTTCCAGCTTTGTTCCTTAGACCAGCAGCCAACAATGCTCCCTGCCATGTGGTGCTCTAAGCCAACGACGGCACTCACCTCCTGGACATGGAACGTAGAATCTTGCGACTCTTGCTCAAGTTTTCACTTGTATTCACCAACTAAGAAGAAACAGAAGTTATTTGCCAGTTGAAAAGTATACAGTAACTCTGTAACGGTGCCCCTGGAAGTAGCTGGTGTTTAAATGTTCCAATTAAAAAGCTGTTGTCTCTCAGAGGCAGGATTCATAACGTTTGGCCACTGGAGGCCTGCAGGTAAGACTTCATTACTCTGCTTCCAAAGCTTTAAGGGAATTTAAAGGTACACCAGGTCATATAGACAAAAACTATACCTACAGATCTTAAGATGACATTTCCTTTCCTGCTCTCCAACCCAAATTTGGGAGCAGCACATACCAAGTTCTGACTGAAATGAGAAATGATTGAAAAACTACTTAAATGAAAAAGCTACAGGCGCTGTTGCGAAGAGTCGAGACTGAGCATGCTTACTTGCCAAACTCGGCATCCTGCTGCAAGTCACTCAGTTAAAAGCTTTGCACTCGGGGTCCCTTGTAGGCACAGAAAACCCCATCAGCTTCTTAGTTCAAGACTGAATTCTAAGTTTTGCATATGTGTGTACACAAAACAAGTGAACTACTTAGAGCTTCCACAGTTGTAGAGCTTCTTGACCCAAGGACAAGGAAGAGGCATCTTGTCTCACACCGCTTTCTTCTTCCTTAGCTATTCTACAAATACTGGAAGGCTAGTAAATAAGTAATTAATCTTTATTAAATTTCATTTCATTAGAAGAACTTTCTAACTGCCTCCAAAATCTAAACCTTTACTAGTAATCTAGTGGTGGGCAACTCCTTAGCATTTTTAAAAATCTGTAAATTTTTCAGTAATGCTAGGTTTTTTGAGTGGGTTTATAATATCTAATTATTATTTGTCTAATATCCACTCTTACATAGACACAGCAGCGGACACTTAGCCATCGTGCTTTGGGCCCTTCTACAGTAACTATTTTCCTTTTATGAGCACAGCATAGAAACGTGGCAGCCTGGATTTAGTCTATAGAAAGTCAACTGAATTACTGTGCCTACAGAGTAATTACTGGCACAGAGCTCATGCTAGGACAACATCAGGTTGTTTTAATACAATGTCCAGTTTCTCTGCTTACTCTGCTCTTGGTGCGTTCCAGTTGCTCCCGCTGCTCCCCAAGTTCTTCGATTATATCAGTGCCAATCTGATCGGTTTCAGCAGCAATTCGGTGCGAGCGCTCAATGCTCTGACTGGCTCGGTTCAGGCTGTCGGTTCCCTGGAGAAGTAGCACCCTCTGTGACTGCAGATTAGTCTGAAAAATAACATAAGCTTAACTGTTGAGCACAAAGAGAGAGGTATTAGGCTTCTGACACACTAAAAAGTTAGGATGCGACTCCATAGGCCACTCATTTGTATCAGCTGTACAGGCTTCTTCCTAAGGTAACTGTTGCAGCCCAGTTAATCTTGAAAGAGTTCTTGTTCACAGTGTAAGATTATGGCCAAATCTGGTTAATCTTGAAAGAGGAAGACGCACAGCTAAAGAGTTAAAACAGTTACAAAACACTGTCTTTGCAACAGTTTACTTTTCCGTGAAAGAACATTTACATGATAATATCATCTTTGCCTTCCAGATGCTAAATTTTCTTTTCATTCATATCTAAATTCAGTCTTATTTGTGATTTCACAGTTGGTTGCCAGGGAGATCATTAACTGTTTTCTCAGTTGAAAGGATCGGGAACAAACACCACAAACAGATGGACTGCTAAGTAACAAAGATCCTCTTTTCATGCCAGTAGACTCTGCTAGAGGATAAGAAATGTCTGCTGACCTAGGGGTCAAAAGGTACCTCAAAATAAAGTATTTCCTTAGGCCTCAAAGTCTAATCTACCACCCTGCTCTCACTCTTTAAGAGGAACCAATCCAGAGGAATCAAATGCAAAAATTCACCAAGCTACTGTAGAATTAGATACTTAAGGAAAAAGCCTCACTCAAACCTTCCTTATCTAAGGCAGACAAACAAAAAGCCCACCTCCACAAACTTTCTGTACAGATGACAGCTCTTTGAAGATAAGAAGCAGATTCGGTCTCACTAGCTCAGCTATATCTAGGCATACCTGGTAAGCAAAGAAATTGGGTGCATTTCTTGTACTGCAGCAGCACATCCATAGCGGACAAAGTGCTAGAGCATAACTTCATATATTTTCTTGAAATGATTTACGCTGAGATTGCCTGAAAGAGAATTCTACTAAAGAACCTACAGAGTGCGTGATTCATGCACTTTGCCAGTTTTGGAGACTAAAACTACATCAGTTAAACTTTCTTCTCAGTCAGTAGCATCACTTTTGTGCTTTCACTGCTGCAGAGGAATAATTAAATAGAGCGTTTCCGTACAGGATGTTGTGTAAGTTACTAACTGCACGGTATTAAAGTACTTCTGTTTTGATTATATGCATACCTTTGTTTCAGAACAGAAAAGCTCTCCGAGCTCTACGTGTTCGTTCTCTTCCCTGAGATATTCATGTTACACACAAAGTAATGCATACAGGGAGTTATACAAGCAGAGAAGCTAAGTGCATTAGAGTAGAAACACTCTAAACAATCCATCTGGAAATTTTTTTAACAATCACAGCAAAGTTAAATAAAATTCATATCTAATTCTTACACTCTGTTCATTTTCTGTGGAGAAGATTCCATATTTTATATCGCCTTGACTTCCAGGGCCCAATCCCAAATCTGTGCTTCTCATCTCTCTTTGGAACATGGAGAGGTCTCTTCTGTACGCCCGAATTTTGCTCATCATTTGGTTGCGGAAAGGCAGGGGAGCATACTTCAGTTCTTCTTCCATTTCCCGCAGCTTTAACAAAAGAAAAAGTAGTTATGTTTTAAAACACCAAATCTATTCTTAGCAGCAGCTATACTCAAAACTTGCCACCAGATGAAGGAATTCACGTGTTTTTATGTGACTGGGGGGAAGGATTAACCCCAAACCCCATACTCCTCATCTAGTATCAAGTACACCACTCTGCCTAACGCTGTTCAGCCCACATGGATTTTCAGATATACAATGTCCCTCTCCCCCCAAATAAATAAATAAAAATGCCAAGCTTAAATGCTTGCTGTTTTCTGAAACATCACTCTGTGACTCAAAAATGTGCAGTTCTCACTTTTATATTGTTGAAGCATTTATATGATGGGTATCAGCTTCTCATGATATCTATGCAACAGATATCTATTGCACAGGTAGGCAGGCCACTGAATTCATACTCTGAACATCCAGGCCCGGTAACTGGAGTTAGGATTTATAAACCCTGAGATGTTGAATGCGTGAATTTTCACATCAATTTTTAGTGACAGTTGTTACAAATTCACAATGCCTAAAGCTGTCCACCAATATGCGCTCACTCTCAGTATGAACCCTACCCCTCATACATCACCAGAATCTCCACAGATACATCCTAAGAAAACCCAGTAAGTTAGAAGAATAAAGCATCTCTCTGAAAAGAACATTCAGCTGTGACTCAAAAAGATCCCCCCAAACAACACATTAATAAGAAAAGAAAGCCTAATGCATAATGTCTTGCTTAAAAAGACAAGTGAAGTGGCAGAGAGGCTGTGCTCTTCCATGTCACCCGCTGTCCAGGAAGCCTATAAATAGAGGTTTAAAATACTCAAAGTCCCTGATGTTTAACCGTCAGACTATTACAGAAAGATCGGATGGTTAAGACTAGTAAGAAAAAAGACAGCAGAAAAGAAGTAGCAAGAAGAAAAAGCAGATTCTCTGCATGTCCTCCCTACAATCTCTAGCAGCTGTAATTGCACTTCTATCATCCTCTTTGTTCAACAAAGCGAAGGTGATACTCAGACCAAGCACACACACAAGAAAAAATACAGATGTATGAATATTTGTCTATATAGGTATATAGATATATACATTAGTCTTAACAAACACAGATGCATCTATCAGATCCATTAAATAAACAGATTTAAAAAACGTGTTTGCCTGACAGCGTAAGAACCATAAAGAGCATAAAATTTGGAAGTATTGTCCTGTTAAAGCATCAATGTTTCAACCGGTCAGAAAGGCCAGAAGTCTAGATCGATGTTTACCGTTTCATTTGCTTCACGCTGTTTCTCATCAAATTCTCGAGTTAGTTTTTTCTTCTCCTCTGTGGAAGAAAAAGTGTTGTGTCAGATAAACTACAGACAAATGACAACAGATCTCAATCCATTAGAGACACGGAAGCTGCCACAGATGACCGATTACAGGCGCCAGGTCAAAATGTACCTCAAACAGGAACATCCTGTTCTTAGGACAACTTTTCAGATGGTGGGGGCAGGGGGCAGAGGTGGTGGAGAAGCCACCCTTCCAAATGCTGGCCAATACGTCTTCCGAAAGCGACGCCCTGAATTCCTGCAATTGCCTTGGCAAACGCCTCCCCCCCGCGCCCAGGCTTTCTGAACGGGACTTCGCCCACCAGCTGTAAACGCAGGTTTACCTACGGGGAAGCGTCCCGAACGCTCTACAGCAGCCCCAGCTCCCCA